AAGGTTGGGCAATCCTACTTCCGTAGTGATACTGCCTCGGAAACCCAAGGAGGGGTCACTATGAGTTGGGGCCGACTCGATGGCACACAACAACAACAGGCATTATAGTTAGACAAAAGGAAGTTAAAAGTCTAAGGATTAAAAAAGGCATAAAACTTATCATCTGTGGACGATGTGATAATTGACACAGAAAATGTAAAGAAACTAGAAATTGTTTGAACTAACATGACAGCAGCAAGACAGGACCAATATATAAAAACTTCTAGCTTTTTCATACGTTAGAGACAATTAGAAAGTATTTTAAAAGCAAATAATGTTCCAAAGAATAAATCAACAGTTACAAAATAAAGACTTATGGAAAAATTATACAACTTTCTGGACATACGTAAAATGGAGCCTTTGCCTAGTGTACATGGTTAAGTGCTTGACTTTTTTTTTTTTTTTTTTGTGATTTGGGTGAAAGTTTACAGAGTAAATTCACTTTCCATATACCAGCTCATGTACACTTTCTCTCATGACATTGACTGAAGTTTCCCACAATGCAGCAGCTCCCCTCCCACTTCCTCCCCATAGTTACCTCTTCCCTGTGTCCTTCCTTCTATGCACTCCTGCCCCTGAGCTGTCTCCCTGTGCATACACAACTCTTCTATTCTCCCATGATTATTCTCTCCAAGAAGTGTATCTACCTAGTGTAAATGTTCAGCTCGTATGCCTATCTTTTGTTTGGCTGGAAGCCACAGGAGGGGGTTCAGTTCCAGACCTGAAGGGCAGCGAGGGGCATAGTCTCAGGGGTTCCATCATAAGTGCTCAATTTTTTAAGCATCTAAAAAGGCACCTAAGTAAGTGGGAGTTATACTACATTCATAAATGTTGGTGTTGTTAGGTGCTGTCGGGTTGGCTCTGACTCACAGCGATCCCATGATGTACAACAGAACAAAGCACTGCCCAGTCCTGTGCCAGCCTCACAATCCTTGGTATGCTTGAGCCCGTCGTCGCAGCCACTGTGTCAGTCCATCTTGTTGAGGGCCTTCCCCTTTTTCACTGACCCTCCACTTTACCAAGCATGGCATCCTTCTGAAGGGGATGATCCCTTCTGACAACAGGACCAAAGTAGGTGAGATGAAGTCTGGCCGTTCTTCCTTCTAAGGAGCATTCTGACTGCCCTTCTTCCAGGACAGATTTGCTTGTTTTCCTGGCAGTCCACGGTACTTTCAGTACTCATCGACAATACCATAACTCAAAAGCATCAACTCTTCTTTGGTCTTCCTTATTCATTGTCCAGCTTTCACATGCATATGAGATGACTGAAAATACCATTGGTATTTTAACCATGGGTGGGTTAGGTGTACCTCAGTCTTCAAAGAGACATCTTTGCTCTTCAGCACTTGAAAGAGGTCTTTTGCAATAGATTTGCCCAGTGCAGTACAACATCTGATTTCTTGACTGCTGTTTCCATGGGTGTTGATTGTAGAAACAAGCAATATGAAATCTTTACAACATCAATCTTTTCTCCATTTACCATGATGCTGCTTATTGGTCCACTTGTGAGGATTTTCATTTTCTATATGTTGAGGTGTAATGAAGTGTTGAGGTGTTCATGAGTGAAGGGCTCAATATTAAATATGGCAATGTGCCCAAATTAACCCATAAAATCAATGTAATTACAATAAACACCTTCCCAAAATTTTCTCCAGGTGAAATTTGACAGGCTTACCATAAAGTTCTTATTAAGAGTAAGGAATAACCAATACAAACTGAGAGCTTCAGGACAGATATTTCCCTTTCCAGGTAATCAGGCTCATTTAAGTCCTCCTGAGGTGACACAGTAGACCTGTGGAACTGAGCGTGCTCAGAAACAGGTCCAGATGTGAGCGAGAGCCTAGCCTAGCACATACCACTAGGGAGAGTGGGTTGCTTATGCAGTAAAGCCTGGTGCTACTTAGATAAAACTGGAGCAGTGGCATGGATCTGGGGAGAAGTACTTGCTGTTAGTTGCCGTCGGGTTGCTTCTGACTCAGGCTCACCCCGTGTGGAGAGTAGAACTCCGGAGGGTTTTCAAGGCTGGGACCTTTTGGGAACAGATCGCCAGGCCTGTCTTCCGAGGCACCTCTGGGTGGATTCAAGCTGCCACTCCTGGCCAGTAGTCTAGCACTTAACCATTTGTGCTACCTAGGGCCTCCTGGATAAGTAGTAACGGTATAACGTATGGGGAACAATAGGTGCTGCTCTCACAGTAATGGTTACCTTTTGGAGGGAAAGAGGGAACAAGGAAGGGTTAAAAATGGGGTTCAGCTGTGTTTTGCAACGTTATATACAATGGCAGTGGGTTTGGTTTGGTTAATTGTAGCAGATAATGATAAAATGTAAACTTTGGCTTCATCTTGGTGGCAGGAACTTGGGTGGGTGACATTATTGTCCACACTTCTCTGTCTGCACTATTAATGATTAAGAGTCTATGTACGTAAACATGTCTGCGTGTAACTCTTTTACCTCTTGTGTAAGACTATATGCACACATGTCTGTATGTAACTCTTTAATCCCGTGTAAGAGTCCGTATGCACACACATCTGTGTGTGACTGTAATCCCGTGTGTAAGAGTTTATTCACACACACATCTGTGTGTAACTCTTTTATCCCTGTGGAAGAGTCTGTATGTGTGCACATCTGTATGTAACTCTTCTACGCACTGTGGAAGAGTCTGTACGCACACATGTCTGTGTGTAACTCTCTAGTCCCCTGCATAAGAGCCTGTAGGCACATGTCTGCGTGTAACTGTTATCCCTGCGTAAGAGTCTGTTTGCATACATGTCTGCGTGTAACTCTAGTCCCCTGTGTAAGAGTCTGTATGTGTGTGACTCTTCTATGCCCTGAATAAGAGTCTGTACACGCACACGTCTATGTAACTCTTTTACGCCCTGTATAAGAGTCCGTATATGCACACGTCTGCGTAACTCTTTTACGCCCTCTCTAAGAGTCTGTATGCTGACACATTTGTGTGTAACTCTTTCATCCCATGTGTGCATGTCTGTATGTGAAGGTCGGTTTATGTGCTTAAAGTACAGTTCTAGAAGTGGGCTTTGCAGAGATGAGAGTCGGTGGTGGTTGTGAGATCTGTTGGTCATTTGTAGGTTGTGATGAACCAGGCTCCAGATGGCAGCCAGAGCCCTGGCCCTCCTGACATGGAAGACTTAGGCATCAGGAAGCCTCCACACATGGCAGTTCCCATTGTCACTAAAAGGAAGCGGGTCCTTTGGGAGAGCCAGGAGGAGTCCCAGGAGCTGGAGCTGACAGTGCCCTGGCGGGAGATCTTGGGACAGCCCCCTGTGCTTGGCACCACCCAGGTAGGGTACCTCAGAGGCTGGCCTGCCTGGGACCCGCTGAGCATCAGGGCCTCTGCAGTGCAGGGAGCCAAGCCAGCCCCAGCAGAGCTGGTTTGGAAAGCTGCCTGCTGGGGGTGGTTTTCTGTCTCAGCGTGTCCTCTCACCCCTCCTGCCTGGGGGTGTTTGCCATCTCAGCATATGCACTCAGTGCTCTCTCGCCCCTCCCAGGAAGAGTGGCTGGTGTGGCTCCGCTTCCACAAGAAGAAATGGCAGCTACAGGCCCGGCAGCGCCTTGCACGCAGGAAGAGGCGGTGTCTGGAGGGGGCTGAAGGCGTCCCGAGGCCCGGGGTGCTCCGTGAGGGGCCTGCCACAGGCCTAGGGAGTTTCTTGCGAAGAACTGCCCGCAGCATCCTGGATCTCCCATGGCAGATAGTGCAGGTGCAGCAGTGGTGTGAGGGTACCCCACCTACCTCACGATTCTGGGAATCTGGATATTGAGCTGTTCTGTTTCGGGAGGAGAAAGGGCATACCTGTGAGGTCCTGTCCCCATAGTGGACTGTGTGCTGGGGCTGTGCTGTGCCCCTGTCCACAGTGCTCAGCATACCTGTGACAGGAGGGCCCTCTGTGCTCTGTCTCAGATCAGCGAGACTAGCCAGCCTGGCCTGTTCCGGCTGTGGGCCGTCATTGGCAGCGACCTGCACTGCATCAGGCTGAGCATCCCACGTGTGTTCTATGTGAACCAGCAGGTGGCGAAAGCAGAGGAAGGGCCCACGTACCGCAAGGTATGGGCAGCCTGGAGTGGCAAGGCCCTGTGGCTGTCCCTACAGGGCCCGGTAAAGAGTGGGAAGACAGACGGAGTGAGGTTGTGCCCTGAGCAAGGCGCCTGAGGTTCTGTCTCCAGTGCCTCACCACGTCTGCGTGAGAATCAGTAGACAGGATATCTGTGAGGTGCTTAGCATGGGGCCAGTGCCTTGCCCAGCCCCAGACACGAGGGTTTGGAGGATTTTCTGCAGATCTGTTTCAGAAACTGGCCATTTACCTTTGTTGTATGGAGAGGGTGTATGGGGCCCCTTGGATTACATAGCCAGTTTCCCACCAATTTGAGCTCATCTAAATACCTCTGAATGAGTCTACCCTCCTCAGGATTTTCATTCCCCACCCCCAGCCCCACTTTTCCTGTTTTTAAATGCCTTTTTTTAGTGGGATTTCTGGGGAGAGAAGGGTAGACATTTGGGTCCCTTTGGCAGTCTGCCAGCCATGGATTGGGTATGTGGAAACATTGAAGCACATTCGGGGTCCTCACACGCATGTCCCCAGGTGAACCGCGTGCTCCCTCGTGCCAGCGTGGTCCACAACCTCTATGAGTACTCTGTGCCTGAGGACATGTACCAGGAACACATCAATGAGATCAACATGGAGCTGTCAGCACCAGACATTGAGGGTGTCTATGAGACTCAGGTAGGGTCCTCTAGCTCAGGTCCCAGTGGGGCTACAGCATGAAGGAGACCCACACAAGACAGGTGGGATGGCGGGGGTCCCGGAGGGGCTACAGCATGAAGGAAACCACACAGAACAGGTGGGATGGCGGGGGTCCCAGAGGGGCTATGGCATGAAGGGCAGGTGTGATGACGGAGTCATGGACCCACTCAGGTCCTGGAGTGACTGTGGCATAAAGGAGGCCCCTGTGGGGCATGTGAGATGGTGGGGGTCCCAGAGGGGCTATGACGTGAAGGAAGCCACACAGGGTAGGTGGACCCACCCTACAGGCTGAGTGAATTTCCATACTTCCCAGACCTGAGAAGTAGCCCATTGAAAAGGTTGGTCCTGTGGCTGAGCAAGCTGTGTCCGTGGCCCTAGCTCTCGCCTGTCTGTCTGTCCTTCCCAAGGTGCTGTTGCTGTTCCGAGCCCTCATGCAGCTTGGCTGTATGTGTGTGGTTAACAAGAACAGACCTGAGAAAGTAGCCCATTAAAAAGGTCGGTCCCATGGCTGAGCGAGCTGTGTCCATGGCCCTAGCTCTTGCCTGTCTGTCTGTCCCTCCCAAGGTGCCGTTGCTATTCCGAGCCCTTATGCAGCTTGGCTGTGTGTGTGTGGTTAACAAGCACCTGGTGAAGCACCTCTCTGGCTGGGAAGCGGAGACCTTTGCCCTTGAGCACCTGGAGATGCGTTCTCTGGCCCAGTTCAACTATTTGGAGCCAGGTAGGGACCGTGCTGGCCACCTTGTTGCCCAGCGCTGCCTTCTGCAGACCCAAGGTCACAGCATGTTCCTCTGCAGGGAGCATCCGCCATCTCTACCTGTATCACCACATGCAGGGCCACAAGGCCCTCTTTGGGGTCTTCATCCCCACACAGCGCAGGGCGTCCGTGTTCGTGCTGGACACAGTGAGTCGGGGGGTGTACTTGGGCAGAGGGAAGATGCTTTCTGGGCAGGCCCAAGTGCGAGCATGCTGTTGAGTCTTGGGGCTCTGTGTGGGTGGCCCAGGTGCAGCACCCACCTCTAACTGGTGTCCTGGCTACACTGCGGGCCAGGTACGCAGCAACCAGATGCCAAGCCTCAGTGCCATGTACTCCTCGGAGCATGGGCTCCTGCTGGGGCAGGTGGGCCCCGACTTTCTGCCTCCCCCCAAACACACCTTTGAGGTTCGAGCAGAGACCGACTCAAAGACCATCTGCAGAGCCATCCAACGCCTCCTGCTTGCCTATAAAGTGAGGTTCCCTGCCCCCCCCCCACCGCCCCACCCCACCACACAGCAACCTCTCCCCTTTGCTCTAAGTGGCTTATTTTCCCCAGGCCATGTGTCAACATACTCTCCCCTCCCTACCCTCTTCCTCAACCAGGAGGAGCGCCGTGGGCCCACCCTGGTTGCCGTGCAGTCCAACTGGGAGTTGAGGAGGCTGGTAGGTGAAGTCCCTGTGCTGGAGGAGTTCCCCCTGGTGCCGGTGCGGGTGGCTGATAAGGTCAGCTATGCGGTCCTGGACTGGCAGCGGCATGGGGCACGACATATGATCCGGCACTATCTTCATCTGGACACCTACCTGTCCCAGGCCTTTGAGATGAGCAGGTAAGCGTTGCAAACTCTGGTTGTTGAGTGGGCTGGCCAGCAGGCAGCTTGTCCATCTCTGGCAGGTGGGCATCTCATGACCCTGGCCTGGCTCTGCCTCTGCATAGGTATTTCCACATTCCTGTTGGGAATCTCCCGGAGGACATATCTACTTTTGGCTCCGACCTCTTCTTTGCCCGACACCTGCAGCGCCATAGCCACCTCCTCTGGCTGTCTCCCACGTCCCGGCCTGACCTTGGTGGCAAGGAGGCCGATGACAGCCGTCTGGTCATGGAGTTCAATGACCACACCACAGTGGAGATCAACAGCTCGGGCTGCTACTCCACGGGTAAGCAGGCTCGCCAAGGGGGCCCCTCGAAACCCTGGGCTGAGTGACACTGTGGAGTCCAGAGCTCAGTTGTGCTGAGGGGTTGACTGAGGTGGAGGCAGGGTGGGTGCCACAAGTCAGTGGACTTGAGTGGACAGGCTTTGTGTGCAGTGTGCGTGGAGCTGGACATCCAGAACCTTGCTGTCAACACTGTCCTCCAGTCGCACCGTGTCAACGACATGGAGGGAGCCTCCAGTGTGGGCATCAGCTTCGACGTGATCCCTCAGGCCTCCCTGGAGGACATGATCACTGGCAACCAGGGTGCCTCCATGCCTGCCAGCTATGATGAGACAGCCCTCTGCTCTAGCACTTTCAGGTACTTATGGTGCCAGTGCAATGCGGTCCCTGTCGAGGGACACCTGCCACTTCTTTTTGTTCCTTTGGCCTTTTTCCAAAGGAAGAAAAACGGAAACTGAAGCCAGTGGCGCTGGTCTGTCCACTGTCTTGTTGGCTGAACCAGGGATGAGAGCGCCAAGACTCCTTGTCCTGGTTAGCCCCACTCACTGCCGGCACATGTCGCCCTGAGCCCCCTTCTGGCCAAGTATCTCAGAGGGACCTTTCTAAACTATGCTTCCTTTTGGGTGGGACTGGGTGTGCCGAGTTGGAATCTGCAGTGGGGATGCTGGTATGCACCTTGGTCAGCCGCTGAGTGTGGGAGAACTGGTGAAGGCATGGTGAGCAGTGACAGGAGCAGGGACTGCAGTGCTGGGCAGCACTGCAGGCAGCTGGGTGATCCACGATGCTGGGGTATGTGCGGTGCTGGGAACATGTTGCCTCTCCATGTGCTTTGTCTTCCGTAGTCTCATGAGGGGCAGGTACATACTTGCCCATGTTGGGGATAAGAGCATCTTCCTGCTCGTGGGAGTTGGGGTTTGAGGACAAGTCTGGGTGCTCCCAGCAGCCATATTGTGGGACCATTATATGCTGCTGTTTTCATCTGAGAGAAGGGAAAAGAATTTGATGGGAAGAGATGCAGAAACCAGACAAATGTGGTATGTGGCCTGGGGTGGACTGTTCATAGTCAGTAGGTGGTTTAGGCCTGAAGGGAGTCAGGGTGCCATAGACATTAGTTGTCTTAGGAAAGTGGCTTGATTGTTGGGTTTGTGACGGTCCTCAGATGGACCATGAGGAACATGCTGCCTTGAGGCTATGATCCTTTACTGGAGCAGGAAGGCCCTGCAGGCCTGTCTCTGGCCCTGGCAGTGAGCTGGTCCCCATCTGGGGTCCCCACACATGCTGCCTTGAGTTATGGGTGTGTCCAGGGCGCTGTGTGTCCCTGTCTCCGTCCTGGCACTGAGCACTTAGCAGGGTCACAGTGATGGGCGAGTGCAGTTGGGTCAGGAGGTCTGGGCCTAAATTCAGAAACGTGAGCAGAAAGAACCAGTAGCATCACCAGGGGTGAAATTGTGGGACAGGAGAAGGCACAGGTACAGGGTTGGGCCAGTGTGACTAGAAGCCCATTGGGGCCTGCGGTGCCAGCTATGGGTAGTTGGGTACCACCTTCACATTTCTTCTAGGATCCTGAAGAGTATGGTGGTGGGCTGGGTGAAGGAGATCATGCAGTACCACAATGTCTATGCCGACAACCAGGTGATGCACTTCTACCGGTGGCTGCGGTCCCCGTCCTCCCTGCTCCACGACCCTGCCCTGCACCGCACGCTGCACAGCATGATGAAAAAGCTGTTCCTGCAGTGAGTTGGGGCAGTGCTCTGGGGCGGGGGGTGGCAGGAGTCACTCTGCGGTCTTCTCCAACGGTCCCCAAGTCTGCCGGCCGCTCTCGCCAGGCACGCTGGTTACTCAGTTCTAGATGCCAGAGCAGTGGCCATCTGCTTCTGGATAAACAGTCTACTTCTGGGTGAAGGTACAGCATCAGAAAGACCTGGTGGCCCTGAGCTTCCATTGCAGCTGCATATGTGCACGTGTGCTTGCATGTGTGTTTGTCCTTACAGAGAACGCCAGCTGAGTGCAGGGGCCCTTTGCCCCTTTTGTGCACATTAATTGTTTTGCCCCCTGGCTGTTTTAATTCGTCCTGTAGCACCGAGATATAGTGGATAGATACTGTGTGGGTATATCATACTGATGAAGGTTTAGGCTGTTTCTAGCCTTACACTATTACAAATAACTTAGCAAGGAACAACCTTGTGTGTAAGGCCATGCAAATATATCTATAGAGTAAATTCCCAGAATTAGAGCTGTTGTGGGTTGGATAGATACTGTAAGTATGTAAGTAAATGATAATTAAGTACGCATTGCCAACAGCCCCATGGAAGTTGTGCAGCTTGTCTGTTTCAGCCAGCACTAAGGGTTTATTGCCAACCTGATGGTTGAGTAGTACCACCTCAGAGAACTTTCTCTTCTTGTTCTCTGCCCATCTTTCTGTGGTTTTGTTGGTTTTTCTCTTATTTGTATTAGTTTTCTCTGTATAAAAAGTATGCATTTTTCTGTGGCATGAATGATAACTTTTTTCCCTCAGTCTTTGATACCTGTTGGCTTTGCTTGTAGCACGCAGAATGTGTTCTTTTGCACGGTCAGCTCTATCAGTGTTCTGTACTGCTTCTAGGCTCCAAGTCTGTCGGAAGGGCTTTGTGCTCAGGGTTACAGAAGGTTTTTCTCGTAGCTTCTTCTGATGTGCCGCGGCTTCCTCTGAAGCTCTGCCATCCTGTGATGCCCTGTGGCTTCTTCTCATGATTTCTGGCTTCTTCTGATGCTCTGTAGCTTCTTGACCACCTATTCTGAACTTGTTTCCCAGGCTCATCGCCGAGTTCAAGCGCCTGGGGTCGTCAGTGATTTACGCCAACTTCAACCGCATCATCCTGTGCACGAAGAAGCGCCGCCTCGAGGATGCCCTTGCCTACGTGGAGTACATCACCAACAGGTGGAGGCGCGGCTTGTGTTCTTGAGAGGCACCTGTGGTGTAGCCTGGGCTAGCTTCTGAGCCCAGTCTCACCAAGGGTTCGGCTACAGCTTAGATCAAGATGACTGGTGCCAGCCTGGGGCACAGTAAAGCAGTAGTCACAGTTGTAGCAAAACATAGGCAGCACTCAGATTGGCAGACACTCAGCGTTGAGTTTAGAGTGGCCAGAGTGCTCACCTTCAGAAGGAGGACTGTAGGAAGTTGACGCATGCATAAACCTTACGTAGCTACCGATGGAAGCAACCAGGAATGTTTACTTCTAGAGCACTGTTCATGTAACAAGAGTTAATGGTGTGGGTTGTTGCCTTCTGACTTTTAGATAGAGGCTGCCTGCTCCTCAGGCCTCCTAGAACCTAGCCATTAGTACTACACATTAGGTGTTTTCTACCTGTAAGTAATAGACAAAGACACAGTGAAATGTCCACAGTAGTGTTCTTCCTTCGTTCCATTTATAATGGGAAGCTCATATTGCTGGTGAGTTTACATTGAACACACAGATAAATTACTTTTCTAAGCAGAGAGGAGTGGCTGCTGGTGTGGGAGTGGCTTCTGATCGACCTGGTCAGCTGCCTGTGCATGCAGGAGGAGCACCGAGAGGCAGCACACGCCAAAGGCGTGGTAAATCTTCCTCCTGAGCAATAGGAGATAGAATTAAGAAAACCTGTTCTTCACCTGCATGCTTGCACTATAAACCAAGACCCTCATCGTCCTTCTTATACCTGCCATCAGCGTGCCATAGTGTGCTCTATAGATCTTAGATAAGTTTTCATGGCCAGTGAGCACACTGTGGGCTGATAGGACTGGCTTATCTTAAAACGACCTTGCTGGTACTCCAGATGAGCCTGGCCCAGACAGGCTGTGGCTGAAATAGGGGTGGGAAGAGGTAGGCAGGGACTGCTCCAGGAATGCACTGGTGTCTGAGGTGCTGTGGTTGGGCTCAGGCTGACAGACAGGCTACCTTCCTCTCCTCCTTGAGCTAAGAGCAGAGTTAGGGATAATACATGTTTCTAATATGCAGGAATCATGATTTGGGTTAAGCTCTTTAGCTACATGGTTGCTTTTTTTTTCAATTATTAATATTACTTAAGGTGTTCTTTCTTCCTGTCTCCGTTCATTTTCTTCTCTCTCTCCTTCCTTCCTTCTTTATTTCTTCCTTTTTTTAAAAGTGGACCTCAGGTACAAAGGATTGAATTAATCATAGGGAGGCCCACTTAGGAGTGATAACAATAAAGATCACTGTCTTAGTTCTTTCATGTTGCTATAACAGAAATACCACAAGTGCATGGCTTTAACAAACAGAAATTTATTTTCTCAAAGTTTATGAGGCAAGAAGTCTGAATTAACGCTGGCTCTAGAGGAAGGCTCTCTGTCTCTGTCAGCTCTGGAGGAAAGTTATCTCCTTTTAACATCTGTGGGCCTGACATTCTTCGGAGATCTTCGTGTGGCTTGGCGTCAATCTTGCCCTGAGTCTAGGAGGTTCTCAGCACAGGGACCCTGGATCCAAAGGACGTGCATTGCTCCTGGCTCTTCTTTCTTGGTGGTAATCAGGTCCCTCTCTCTGTGTTCAATTCTCTGTCTCTATATCTTTTGTAAGATAAAAAGTGATGCAAGCCACACCCCAAGTAAACTCCCCTTACATGAGATCAGGGCTGTGACCTGAGTCAGGGTGTTGCATCCCACCCTAATTCCCTTACAGCTACTTGGCTGATTACATTGGATCACACCATGGGGGATGTTTGTATCAATACATAACTGTCAAATTATTTCACTGCATAACTGACAGACCACTGAGAATCATGGCCCAGCCAAGTTGACACATATTTTGGGGGGCCCACAATTCAGTCTATGGCAATAATCTGTAAGAGCTTGATAACAGGAAGCAGTGTTAGTGCTGTCACTCCATATTGTCTCAGATCGGGGAGCAGGTGCAATCAAACTCATGGGGCTGCCCCTAACCATAAGGATGCTTCCAGTCTTCCTGTTTGTACCCCTCAGATTCATTTGGCCAATTTGAATTGCCTGTTACAGATTTTAGCAACTTTGAAGTTTTTGAAATCTCATTTTCCCTCCATTACTGTTCTTAGAAGGTGATTAGTAGTGCAGGAAGCATCATATATAAAATTGACTGCTTTGTTTTACTCTCTGGCCTTTGAGGGGATTCCTTCTTTGACAAGCCATGGGAATGGGCAATGTCTAATAAGTAAATTATTCACAGGTTTTCTAACTAAAGTTGGATTTGTTGTTTTCTCAAGGAGGCTTTCTACCTATTTATGTCTTTATATCTAAAGTGGGTTTTTTTTTTTATCGTGATTTGGGTGAAAATTTACAGTGCAAATACACTTTCCATACAGCAGTTCACATACACTTTGTCTCATGACATTGGCCACAATTTAGCATAATGCAACATCTCCCCTCCCACTTCCTCCTGATAGTTACCTCTTCCCTGTGTCCATCTCTCCATGCACTCCTACCCCCTGAGGAGTCTCCCTGTGCCTGAGCAGCCCTTTTTTCTCTCATGCTTATTCTCTCCAAGGAGTGTATCTACCTCAGATAAATGCTCAACTGATATGTTTGGCTGGAAGCCACAGGTGTGCGTTCAATTCCAGACCGGAAGGGCAGCTAGGGGCCATAGTCTCAGTGGTTCCACCAGGTTCCCTCAGGCCAGCAAACCTGTTCCCGCTTTTTTTTTTTTTTTCAAAATGATTTTGAGTTTTGTTCCATATTGTTCCCCCTGTCTATCCAGGATCTCCTACAAAGATCCTCTTCCAAGTGGTTGACGGTAGTAGCTGAGCACCATTTATTTCTTCGGGTCTCATAGTCATATAGGCTGCAGATCAGATGGTGTACCAATCTCTAGGACTCGTTTCCATGAATTTTTGGCTCTGGACGAGAAGAGACCCATCATTGCATCTAGATGGCAGCTTGCAAGCTTTTAAGATCCCAGTGACTACTCGCCACAGTAGGAGGTGGAACAATGTTTTGTGTAGTATGTTATGCCAATTGAGCTTGATGTCCTCTAAAGTGGGTTTCTTAAAGGCGGCATATAGTTGGGTCCTGCTTCATCCAATCTGACAAGTTCTGCCTATTCGTTGGGGTGTTCAGACCATTGTCGTTTAATATGGTTATTGCTATGATTGGGTTTAAATCTAACATTTTGCTTTAAAAAAATTCCATTTGTCCCTTGTTCACTCTTTTTTGTTTTGTAAGTTTAGTGGTTGCTTTATGGTGTATGCTATAATCTATCAGTCGGCCTACAAGCAGTATTACACCACTTCATATATAGTATAAGAATTTTACGGTAGTTCCTTTTTACCCCCCCAGCCTTTGCTCTATTTTCATACATTTTACTTCTGCATATATTATAAACTCTATGCTGTATCACTATAATTTTATTATTTTTGTTTAAATAGTTATTTTTTAGAGAGATTTAAATAGTAAAGGAAAATGATTGTATATATCCTTTTGTGTATCTGTTACCATTTTCTTCATGACTGAGGATTTCCTTTGATGTTTCTTACAGTATGACAGCTGGTGATGAATTCTTTCTGCTTTTGTGTGTCTAAAAAAAAGTCTTTATTTTTTTTGAAAGATATTTTCATTGGGTATAGACTTCACTGGATATAAGCATATTTCACTAGATCACTCACTATAACCCAGAAGTGACTTGATGACATCAGGTTTATTACAGAATTCTACGTTGATTTTTTTTTTTTTCCCCAAATTTCTTCATTCTTCACTGTTGCTTTGCTCTCATCGTTTCTGAAGAAAGTTAGCTGTCATCCTTATCTTTGTTCCTCTGTATGTAGAGTGTCTTACTTCTCTCTGGCTACTTTTTTAAGACTTTCCATTGTCACTGGCTATAAGCAGTCTGATTATGGTGTGCCTTGGTGGTGTTTTTGTATTTTTTATGCTTAGAGTTAATTGAACTTCTTGGATCTGTAGGGTATAATTTTCATAAAGTTTGGATTTTTTTTTAGCTGTTATTTCCTCAGATTTTTTCCCCTTTCCTCCTTACTTCTTTGGGGACTCCAGTTACACACATTAGGTTATTTGAGGTTCCTTCACAGTTCACTAGTTCTGTGTTCATTTTTTGAAAGTCTTTTCCCTCTGTGTTTCATTTCAAATAGTTTTATTATGTCTTTTAATTCACAATCTTTTCTTCTGTGATGTCTAATATGCCATTAATCCCATCCCGTGTGTTTTTCATTTCAGACATTGTCTTTTTTTTTTTTTTTTTTTAGGATTTGGGTGAAGATTTACAGAGTAAATTCACTTTTCATACAGCAGTTCACATATACTTTGTCTCATGTCATTGACCAAAATTT